CCAATATGTATCGATAGCGAGGTCATCATAAATGATTACTAACCAACTGATTTTTTTTGTTTTTACTTAGTTAATATTTATATAATTTAACAGACATATTGTCCTACAAATTGCGTGGTACGTTATCCCGGTCCTACGCTCAAAAGTAGTAGTACAGATCCTTGATGTAAAAATAATTACTATCAAGCTGAATCGTCGTGAATAGCTTCGTTTCGATGAGTCGCCCAACAATTTCCTGTGCGAAAATTCTCAATTGTGGTAGCTAACAAGGAAATTGTTGGGCAATGATAAATTATCTCGATTTAATTATTTTCAAAAATTTAAAAGAAGTTAGAAAAATTAATAATCGTCAATTTAAATTCAACAAAAAATTAACAAAAAAAATTTGTGTCGCTTGGGTTTCTGTATTTTGCTAATACAGCTGAGTCACACCGGTTCGGCGGTACGCATGCGCAGAGCATTGCTTACTCCGTATTAGGTATCCCACGTTAGTGTCGACCATAAGCCTGCAAACATTTTCTCAGTCGACCGCGTGTTTTATTTTGTCTTGAGAAATTATTTCAAGAAATGTTTTTTGTGCTGGAAAATAATTATGGAGTGTTTTTTGTGTAATTTGTTTTGTGAAAACCCTAAATTTCGAGAGAAAAGAGAATAAGATCTTTACTGTTTTACTTTTCGAGAGAAAAGAGAAAAAGAGAGAAAGGTGTCTTATGAAAGGTAAGTCGATCGAATATTTATTTACTTTATTTTTAAAATTATTGAAAAATAATTTATTAAGTTCATATTTCACGTAATTATGTAAAATCGAGCATTAGCATTGAAACATTCTATTGTAGCATTGTATTATTGTTAAATTCTTTAAACAATAATTTTGATAGTGTATTATATTTTACATATTTTCTTATTTAATTTTTTGTCATTTAAATTTATATTTTTGTATGACTAAATATTAATTTAATATGGAATAATTTTTTCAATATCGATGATGCTATGTGATATTTATGTAGATGCTGTATTTATTTGCATGTTTCTCAAATAAACAATTTTAAATTTTTTTTAATAATTTCTCATACACAGCACTGAGCCAGCTTCAACATCATCAGCGTCTCAATCTAATGGAATCATTGATTCCTCGGTATCTTTAACGTCTGCTGAAAGTGTAGAACCGGACCCATTGCCATGCACTTCACGGTTAGTTAATTAAATAATTTTTTTTTATTTGTTAGTTATATAATTTATTTGTATATATAATTTACTTAATTTTTTCATGTTATTACAGAGTCAGATATTACGACTGAGGAAAGTGAAATAGAAGATGACAGCGATGTTAGTAGCGAATATTTATCAGATGAATCTGATGAAGATTAAGTTCTTTTATATATATATATATATATATATATATATATATATATATATATATATATATATATATATATATATATATATATATCATATATATTATTGTATACTGATATTACCTACTGTTGTATTATAAAATATTAATCCTATATATTTCTATCTAACACGCAAAAACATTTAAACGTATACGTACTAGTACTGATATTTGAAATCATAGATTGGGTACAAATCGTTATTAGGTATTATTATATTTAACAATCAGTATGAGAATTAATAAAAAGTATACTGAATTATCTAATAGCATAGGTATCCGGTTGTATTATTGAATTCCATGTACTACTTATGCTATAGTACTATCTTTTTAAAAATATATAATGTAATGACTAAAATCCTAGACATAATGTATTATGTAATGAAATCACTATAATTAAAACTTGTTGGTTATTAATAGAAATACTTAATCTAATACTTAATCTAATCTAATAGTAACTAGTTAATCTGGTGTAAGGAATAAAACAAGACACTTAAAACAAAAATAATGATCCTAATTAAAAATAAACAAATGCTTATTATTTACTAAATATTACTACACTAAATAGACCAAAACTTGTCTTCTTATGTTTGAATATAATAAAAATATACAGGATAAAAAGAGTTAAAAGAAAAAGGTATATACTAGGTATATAAAATGAAGTCCATAAAAGACTAACGATAGAGTCTTGGTAAATTGTATCTTTAGTTATATAAAACAACTTAATATATTGCAATTAGTTTATCAGTGAAACAATTATGATTGAGATGAGATTACACTACAGTGATTCCACAAAAAAAACCACATTATTTAATCTTACCAGCACGTCTGGTACGTGCTACTTCAGACTTTCCAGATGCCCGAGCTGCATTGTCACCTGATACCAACTGGCCGACGGGATCCGATTTCTTACCAAGAACAAACTTTTTTAAGGTCTTCAGAAGTAAATACTTTATGCCGGCTTCCATCTGGCAATTTAATCGTGATGTTTCCGTCCAGCGTCCAGACGTTACGCATACCGAAAAGTTTGCGTGCTTCCATAAATACAGCTTTGCGTTGTTTAGTTAGGAATTCAGAAAGTATAAAGGGTGTGCCCTTAAGTGAAGCCTTTTTCCTCCAAACAGTGTAACGGAGGGATAAATGGAATCAGTAAGTCTAAAAAGTACAGACCTACTATGGCCCGTAGATGCTGATCTAAATCTGTGTACAACCTTGAAGGAGGAGGCTGTGATGTCGATGAGACCAAGGTTGTTTTTTAATATTGTGGTAACAATACCAGCTGTATTCTCATCAGCCTTCTCAGGTACTCCACTAAGGATGAGGTATTTCTTTCGGTGTCTCATTTCCAATGAATCGGCTAACTGGCTCAACTCGTAAATTTGCTGTGTCATTAGCTTGAAGATCTCCTGAACATAGTCGCGAAAAGCATTAAATTCTTTATTAATTTGCACAAGATTTTCTGGTTCGGTCGAGGCAGTGACAAGTTGATGTTCAAAGTCATCCATTTTAGAAGTGTAGCTTTTATTGTTTTTTGAGTTTCAGAAATATCGATAAGGTTAGTCATTTTATGTCAGTGGAATTCCGTAACGTGAAAATTGCACTTAAATAATATGGTGTTGACACAGTCGCCGGCAGGTATGTTCACTGTGTTATTTATTCAACATTAAATTATTGTCCGCACAATATGAAATTAAATACGCAATAATATTAAGATTAAACATGAAATTATGCTACAAAAATACTTTTTACACTAAATAAATAAAATTCGATCACAGAAACGTGTGTAAACTTTTTGAGCACCTACCCGCGAAAAAAAAAAGTTTTACTTTAAGTTGACGCTAAGCATCCGAACACTCCTGTTAACAAGTTCCGAAGCAGAAATTTCAATTATTTACAATGAACAGAGTCGCCAATGAAACGTCAAGCCACGAGAGCTAAGACTCTTTATATCTGACATTCTAAGTATAATTAAGGAACTTCCTAGAAAACCCCCGCAAAATTACAAAAACAAGCAAGCTGTGCCTTGTGTTTAAGAAAAGGGGAGAAAAAGTGAAAACTTCTTACATATATACTTCCTGCCAGCATGCTAGGTATGATTGTCGCAGATATATTAGTCCAGGATCCATCGCCCATTTTTGCACGTGATTACTATCAAGCTAATTTTCCGTCAGTAGCTTTATTTTGATGAGACGCCCAATAATTTCCTATACGAAACTCTCGATTGTGGTAGCTAACAGAAGTAGCAAGGATAAAATATGTTGATTTGATGATTCTCAAATATTTATTACTAACTGAATTTTTTTTTTTTGTTAAATCTCAAGATATTTATTTAAATTATTTGAAAAAATATTTGTCCAACAAAATCTATGGTTTGATCAAAGAGTCCCCTTTAGCCAATATGTATCGATAACGAGGTCATCATAAATGATTACTAACCAGCTGATTTTTTTGTTTTTACTTAGTTAATATTCATATAATTTAACAGGCATATTGTCCTACAAATTGCGTGGTACGTTATCCTGGTCCTACGCTCAAAAGTTGTTAATACCACAAGACCATTTTTTTTCATTAGTAACTGTAGGACAAAAATATTACATGATAGGTTAGTGTGTTCTCTGCCCAAATGAAACATCGTCCTACAAGAAAACAGGTATGTATTATTAGTCCGACAAGAATTGTCATTTTTTCGTTTTTCTATCTGTAAAATAAGATAAAGTAAAAAAAGCTTTTTTAAAATTTAAATAACTTTATTTTTTAATAAACTTGGTACAAAAATTTATGTATTTATATATATATATATATATATATATATATATATATATATATATATATATATATATATATATATATATAGAAAACCTGATTAAAACCGGTATGTACCGGTTCTAGTTAAATAACCGATTTATTTTGCATGTTGGCAGTCCTGTAACTTTACAACGTATATCTGAATCCTTATGAATAGCAGTGGTTGGGGAATCCCAAAAATGTCGCCCGATAGCAATGGAGGATTTACCGATCAGAGACAATTGTACAATTCTGCAATTTTCTTTGCAAAGCATAGCGATAGATGTATTTAATTGCCTAAAATAATTGTTTGGCTTGTTTATAACAAGAAAAAGAAACTACAAAAGGTAATTAGCATTATTATGTAATTTTTCAATTTTTTTTTCATGTCAATTTTACCTGTGGTCTATAAAGTAACCTATTAATTTGATCGATTTATTTTTTTGTTTGCAGGATGCCAAAAGTAAAAGGAAAATCTCTTACAAGAAATCATTTTGAAAAATTGAATAATGATTCGGCTAAATGTCAGTTATGTGGAAAAATTATCAAGGTAGGCGGAGGGACATCTAATATGTTGGCTCATCTCAAAAGAAGTCATCCACAGGCAACAGTGCCAGTCAATCCTGATTTAACCGTCAAAGAATCGTTACAGCTCGCACTGGTGGAACAAGTTATCAAGAAATGCAAAGCAATTGTAAATTTTTTTAAGAAGTCGTCTGTTGGATGGCGTGCTCTGAAATCAGAATAGATAGAAAGAAATCCTAATGCTCAGCCACTAAAACTAATTCAAGATATTACGACACGTTGGAACAGTAAATTTCATACGATGACCAGAATGCTAAAAGTGTCCGATGAACTGGCACTAGTATGCCGAAAAGTAAATCAGTCGCCAGAATTCCTCAATTCTTCTGAAGAAAAAATTGTTAAAGACGTGGTAAATGTTTTAGGTATATTCGAAGACGCAACTAAATTAGTGAGTGGTGACCAATACCCAACGAGTTCTTTAGTGAATCCTGTAATTTGCGGATTATTTGAAAACCTCAACACCATCGAAATATCACTGGAAACAGATGTAGACAAGATGTTCTGCTAAACAATACGGCGTAACATCAGCAGCAGATTGTTGGCCTACGAAACTAGAACTGTGTCACAAACTTCTGCATATTTGGATCTAACCTTAAAGACCGGCTTTCGTCAACCTGAAAATATGTTAACTGCTAAAGACCGGGTGAGGCGGGAGTTGCGGAGTCTGATACTGGACTCCAATAATAAAACTGATGCCCCATCTTCTGATTCAATACCTACGACTGAGCAGGTGGCAAGAAAGAAGCCGGGAATTTTGGACTTCTTAAAACAAAGACGGACTGAGACTGGTCTTCCAAATGCGACTGCTTCTGCAGTAAACATACTGCGCATGTATATGGAAACCGAGATTGATCCTGGGCAAGAAGACAAACGTACAGAAGTCGCTGGCACTTACTGGAAAACAAATAAACATTTGGCGCCGCTTAATAACATGGCTTTAAAATATCTGTCAGTGCCAGAGACTTCTGTACCTTCGGAAGAATGTTTTCAACTTCCGGCTATTTCTTATCATCGCGAAGGAACAGGTTGCTTGGTGATGCAGTAGATCAACTTTGTTTTATCCACCAAAATTATGATTTAATTATATAACTAAAAATAATATATTAAATATATTTAAAAAAAACTCAATTTTTTCATTGTCATATGGATCCTAAAAACCTAAAAAAACCTAAGAAAATCGGTTTTTTTAAATTACTAATCGGTTTATACCGGTGCTGAAAGTTGTAATCGGTTGACATCGCTAAGACAAGTAACATAAAACAACAAACAATAAACATAGCACAGAGTACTTTTGGGAGAAAGTAGATAGCGCGACATGCATAGGCTAAATACGAAATGATTTTCATTTAATGTTGTATCGGTAGCTACCGGGCCTTTGACCAAAGCGAAATATTGGATAATTGCGTGTTTTACTTTTTCTCTCTCTCTCTCTCTTCTTTTACATTAGCAATTTAAATGTTTTTTTAATTATTTTACTACTAGCAGTTATGTCACAACATGATCTAAATTCTGTGCTGTTTAGATTATGTCGAATTTAATTCATCCTACCTTTGTAATATTGTACCGTTAATATTCAGACATACTTGGATGTTTATGATTTTGTATCTGGTCATAATTATAAATTTTTGTAGACTCCTTATTTGCTTACTGTAAACAGTCGACCGGCGGGCTAGTGCCTATATTAACTGCGTACCTTTATATTTATATATATATATATATATATATATAATATCATATCTATTTTACATACCTTACATTAATTCGTTTTACAATACAATGCCTGATGATGGTTCCTTTTACTCGATTTCTGATTTATCATTTAAGTCCACTGAAGACTCGGTAACAGAATCGGTTAGTCTAAACATGTTTATTGCTCAACAACTTACAAATTCCCATAAACACTTCAATGTTTGTCACATCAATGCGCAGAGCTTATCACATCATTTCTCCGAACTTTTGGATATCTTTACCGATACGATCCATGTTATCTTAATCTCTGAAACCTGGCTCAAACCATCTCTACTCTCGACTTCTTTTAGTATACCCGGCTTTGTGCTATTACGAAATGATAGACTAGGAAACCGAGGTGGTGGAGTGGCGATCTACCTTTGCTGTGGTATCCCTTATTAAGTTATCGCATCTTCTCCTTCTATAGCGTTTGGATCTCTTGAGTATCTCTTCGTAGAAGTTCTCTTAAATGGAAACAAAATTATTCTTGGAGTTGTATATTCTCCGCCTTCAGTTAACTATTTTCATGACCTTGAGTCCGCTATCATGAATATCGCATCTGAGTACGCACATCATATAATTATGGGCGACTTCAATACTGACCTTTTGCAGAACTCTTCTAGATCGCGAGAACTACGAATGATCATGAATTCAGTAAATTTCTCTATTCTCCCACTTGGACCCACGCATTCAAATATTAACACTGCTGATTCATGGCTAGATTTGATAATCGTTTCGTCTACTGAACATGTTGTAAATCATGGGCAGTTTCCGGCTTCTGGTTTCTCGCGCCATGATTTTCTATTCATTACCTATAGAGTCAAATCACCTAAAATTGCATCGCACCTGTTCTGCGTCTGCGTAGCTTTGCGACTCTGAATGTGGAGTTGTTGAAACGGAAAGCCGCCTCAATAGATTGGTCAGATATTTTTAATACATCAGATGTAAATCATATGGTAGAGACACTGACTAATAATATCCTTCAGTTATACGATGCAGTTGCCCCCATTCGCAATGTTTAAGTCAAGCGCCCCCCAGCACCGTGGATGGACAGTGACATCAGTAAAGCAATGGCAAAACGTAATCGGGCTTTTGTGAGATTTAAAAGCAATTGTTGTGATGCCAATTGGAATGTATATAAGGCTACCAGAAACAGATGCAATCAAATGTTTCGAGCTGCAAAACGCCGACATATCCATAAGAATATTATAAGCTCTTCGCCAGCCGGCACTTGGAAGTTTCTTAATTCCCTTGAGTTAGGTAGACTAAAGAATTGCCCTGATATGGGGTCAATATCTCTCAATGATCTTAATAAGCACTTCTCGGCAACTAACGTCGATAATTCCATTAAACGTAGAACTGTTTCTCTTATCTCATCACTTCCCAAAATCGACGCAAACTGCTTTGCTTTTTCTCCAATAACTGATTAAGATGTTCGTAAAATTATTTTTTCCATTAAATCTAAAGCAACTGGCTATGATGATGTGAGTAGAAATATGATTATCCCCATACTTGAAAACATTTTCCCAATCATTACCCACATCATCAATTTTTCTTTTTCTACTGGGGTTTTTCCATCTTTTTTGGCGTAAAGCATGTGTCCTTCCACTTGCCAAGTTAAATAATCCCAGTTCTGTTAACCATTTTCGACCAATTTCTATACTTCCCTTTCTTTCAGCTATCTATTCTAACAGCTATCCAGCTACATTTATAAAAATAATCTTCTTAGTCTCTTACAATCAGGTTTTCGTCCTGGGCATAGTACAACCACTTCTCTCCTTAAAGTTCTTGATGACGTACGAGAGGGTATGGAGGAATCAAAATTAACGGTTCTCATATGAATTGATTTCTCCAATGCTTTCTGTACAGTTGATCATGACATTCTTCTTGCTATCTGTAAATATATTGGTTATCAACTTATTTAAAGCAAAGAGTTAAAGTCAACCAACAGTCTTTCTGTGATTGGTCTGATCTTACTACTGGCGTTCCACAAGGCGGAATTCTTTCTCCTTTATTATTTTCTATTTTTATAAATCTCATAACTGTAAATTTCAAATGCTCCTACCATCTGCATGCTGACGATTTACAGCTGTACGCTCGGATTGATCCAGCAGAGGTTAACTCCGCGATCGAAATTTTAAATCTAGATCTTGCGGCCATCTGTGACTGGTGCAGAAATTATGGAATTGCTGTCAATCCTGTTATATGTCAAGCGATAATTCTCGGTAGTCCTCGCCTTATAGCTAAATTAGATTTTAATTCACTGGAGCTTATCATTTACAATTTTTTTTTTTTTTTTATATAGTGAAAAAGTATATATATATATATATATATATATATATATATATATATATATATATATATATATATATATATATATATATATATATATATTTTCATTTATTTAAAGGACCACAAACAGATTCACAATTAAATATATATAAAATATTCAAAACAAAGAAACGTAATTATCATTATGAATCCAACAGCGCTGGTCTCATTATACATATAATCTAGTGTTAAAGTGGAGCTCATCTTACATTATAATAAGTGTTAGTTAACTAGTTAAGAAATCATGAAGTAACTAATAAACATTATTAATACATGTGTGTGTGTGTGTGTGTGTGTGTGTGTGTGTGTGCGCGCGCGCGTGCGTGAGTCCACGCGCGCATGTGAGTGTGTGTGCGTGCGTGTGTGTGTGCGTGTGTGTGTGCGTGTGTTTGTGTGTTTAAGAGTGGAGGTAGGTGTGTATGTGTTATTGCGTGTGATTTCGATGAGTTATGTGAACAATCAGAGCTGGATGTCTAGACAGTGCCAAATAGACAAGGCATCACAAGCCTGGCTGCCCTACAGCAGCTGCAACCTTGGGTTCGGAGACGTGTTTGGCAGGTACATGAATCTACAACCAAGCTTGCGATATACAGGAAGAAAATAAAATCATTTTTTATGTGTTACTAAGCCAAGCCTATCAATGACTGATTTCTTGAAAGATGTATGTCGTAATGCAATAATATCGATATCATTGAAAATATTATTGTATGTTTTAGCCATACGGTGAAGTGGAGAACGAATGCCCGCATTCGTTCGGCAGGATAAGGTTGCAAACAATCTATGCGGACGTGTAGACCTCATTAATGATCGAGGAGGTACGCTATAACAAAGTTTGTTTGATATTTCTATAGAGTCATATCTATTATGAGTAAGATCATGTAATAACATTACTTCAAGTTGTGTGCGTCTAGATTTAAGATCGATTAAATTGTATGTTTTTAGTAACAAATTATACGACAATCGTTTGCGGTGGCATTTAAAATGTATGTATCGAAGATATTTCTTTTGTATCCTTTCAAGCATATAATTGTATTTTTCATAAAGTGGATTCCATATTGATACAGCGTATTCTAGCTGACAACGTATCAATGATTTAAATAAATATAAGAATGTAGAAGTTTGTTTAAACATAACACCTGACCTAATGACGAACCCATACATTCTAAATGCTTTATTAATAATGTTCTCTATATGTACATCGAAATGTAGTTTACTATCAAGCGTGATTCCAAGATCTTTAATAGTGTTTTCTTTTGTTAAGGTTATTCCGCAAAGTGAATAATAGTAATTACTAAAATTCCTCTTTCTTGTGAAAGTTATGGATTTGCATTTATTAATGCTCAGTTCAAGTTTATTTTCACTGCAGTATAAAGAGAGTTGATTCAGGTCATTTTGGAGTTTAACATGATCGTCTAAAGTGTTAATAATCTTGTAAATCTTTAAATCATC